GATCCAAGGATTTGGGCCATCTTCCACTGCTTTTCCCAGGCCAACAGCAGGGAGCTGGATCAGAAGTGGAGCAGTGGGACACAAACCTGGGCCCATGTGGGATGCTGGTATCACAGGCGGCAGCTTAACCCACTACACCACAATGTGGTCCCTGTCTGGGGGTTCTTTAATCCACACTGGTCCCCAAAATGATTCATGACAGCCGCCTTCTGTATCCAACCAGAAGTAGAACTTCTGATATACATATTGTTGTTTTTGGGTACAAATTTATTATTATCTTTCTGAGATTTATTTTATTTATTTGAAGAAGTTAGAGGTAGAGGTAGAGACAGAGAGAGGGAGTGTGAAAAGGTCTTCCATCTGCTGGTTCACTTCCCAAATGGTTGCAGCGACCAGGGCTGAGCTGATCCAAAGCCAGGAGCTTCTTCCAGGACTCCCACATGACTGCAGGGGCCCAAGCACTTGGGATATCTCCCACTGCTTTCCCAGGTTCATCAGCTGAGAGCTGGATCAGAAGCAGAGAAGCTAGGGCTCGAACCCACCCACGTGAGACGCCGGGGCTGCAGGCGGCAGCTCCTTATTGTTGGTTTTTCCACTATGAGAAATTATCTTGAACTGCTCAGCCCTTTAGTATTTAATGTAGTTACAAATGTAGCTATTAGCTTTTTAGTCACACATTCTTTAGTTCCCACCTTTGATCTTGTGACATTACAATACACCTTAAATTAGTAATTTTATTGCTTTTTCCTTACCTGCAAATTCCAATAGTATCTGAAACTCACTTGTAAGTAGTGAGTTTCTCAAAAAAAAAAAAAAAAAAAAAAATCTCTGTACTCACCACAGCATTCTGCACACAGCAGGTGCTCAATAAGACGGCGGCTGAACAGGCCAGTTCACCCGCAGAGAAAAAGGAAAGCTCCGTGATCACAGCCTATGTTCTGTCTTTGGGGCCCCAGTTCACTTCGAGCCATGGTTCTCTCTGTTAACGTGCAGAGAGCAAACGGTAACAGGAATCTGCTACAGAACTGTGACACTGGGGCTGGTGCTGTGGTGCAGCACGTTTAGCCTTTCAACACAGTGCTGGTTCAAGACCCCACTACTCCACTTCCGATACAGCTTCCTGCTAAGGCACCCTCGAAGGCTAAGGAAGATGGCTCCAGTGCTTGGGCTCCTGTCACTCACGTCGGGGATCCTGGCTCCTGGCTTTGGTCTGGCCCAGGTCTGGCTGTTGCAATCATTTGGGGAGTGAACCAACAGATGGAAGATCTCTCTCTGTGCTGCTCTTTCAAATCAATCAATCAGTCAATCAATCTTTTAAAAACAAAATTGTGAAGTTCCCCCCATTTTCCTCATGCCTAGCCTACCTTCCCTCTGACCTTGACCCAATGATCTCGTTTCCTCTTTGCTTGGCAGCTGTCTAAAGAAGAAAAGACTCCTCTATATTTGAGTAGAACTGTTTCACACTCTTGCTTGCCAATTTCTTACTATGTCATGACAGTAGTTTTCTTTCGGAAAAGAAATTAGGAGCATTCAAAAGTAGACAGGGGAAGGCCTTAAAGGAGCCTTGCTCAGGAGTCATCCGTGCCCAACACCGTAAATGTTGGGAGCACAGGGCAGAGGCTGGGCCTGCTCCCTGAGAAATCCGTGTGTGTGAGAGAGAGAATGAAGAAATGAGACATCAGGTGAGAGGCTATTACTAAGGATCCAAAACCCAGAGTGTTCGCACAGAAGGGAGAGCAAAGAATGAGCTGTCAACAAGAAGACGCTAACTGCAGTCATCAAGAACTGCTTGTCAGCCAGCAGCCGCAGTCCTGAAGTCAGTGATTTTCCAACCTTTCTCAGAACCGCAGGCGTCTACACGACGCTCCAGAGAGCAGGCTCCCCCTCTTATCTGCTCCTGAGATTTTACTACACAGGACAGGCTGCACCAAAGGGGACGAGGAGAGACGCAGGACGGGGCAAGCAAGGAAAACACCTGCAAAACACCGATCCAAGTTGTGATTTCACTTGATTAAACCTTGTTTTCAACTCTGAAAAAGCAGCACAGTGACAGAAATAGCTTGACTAGATACTAAGATACAGTATAAAGCCCCTCCCTCCCAATTAAAAATAGCATGGTTCTCATACTTACATGGATGGGTCACTAATAGAATAGAAATGCATAGGTCAAAGTATTCACCAGAAAGTATTTACAGAAAACGAAGGGCCAGTGTTGTGATGTAGTGGGTAAAGCATCCATTATGGGCACTGGTTCAAGTCCTGGCTGTTTCACTTCTGATCCAGCTCCCTGCTAATGTGCCTGGGAAAGCAGTAGAAGATGGCCCAAGCACTTGGGCCCCTGCACCCACCTGGGAGACCCAGAAGCAGCTTCTGGATCCTGACTTCAACCTGGCCTGGCTCCAGTTGTTGTGGCCATTTGGGGAGTGAACCCGAGGATGGAAGCTGTCTCTCTCCCCTTCCCTCTAACTCTGCCTTTCAAATAAATGGATAAATCTTTTAAAAATAAATTGAAGGCAGTTTGTAAAACAGCTGTTCTGAAATGATGTGACCCTTTACAGAAAAACATATGAAAAATTTTCTGAATTCCTGGAGGAGGTGGGCTTGGAATTGTCTCTTGTCTCCTCCTGCTGGCTTTCGGTTTGCTGGAGTTCAATCGTCATGGTTCCTTTCTAAATGCAGCTATCTGGGGGCAGCTGGACAGCAGGCCGAGTTCCTGTTCGTTCAGCCTCGGTTCATCAGGCTCTTGAATCCCTTGCCCTCCCACCCGAGCACTCCGACCCTCCTGCCCCGGGCTCTGTGTCTCTCCTCCAGCGGCCAGCTGTCCCTGGGAAGCCAGATGTCCAGCGCAACCCGGACCCGGACCAGATCTGTATTAAAGCAGAGGACAGTGCTACCACTCGCACACCACTCCGCCTGGCTCATGCTGGGGATCAGCTCCTGTGAGTTAAGGTGTTTAAAGCTCCCCAGTTGATTCTACTGTGTAGCTAGGGATTGAGAGGCGACTTGAAGTTGTAAGGGCTTTCTGCTCCTGGATCTTGGCTTCCTGGTGGTACATGAAACACAGGATTTGACGACACGTGCAGCGCCAGCGCTGCCCACACGGTTTGCATTCGCAGCATCAGAACGCTCAGGGCAGGGAAGACAGGGTGCACCTGAGGAGCGCCTTCGCAGCTCAGCAGGGGTTGGGATGTCACAAATGTTGCTTTCAGCACCTTCCTATTTTACAATAGCTGTATTGTCACCAGAGAAAAGGCCACAGGGTTCTTGTCTTCATACATTTACGCCTGTAATTCAGGCTCAGGCGTGAGGCAGAGAAGCGATAAGGCTTTATTGGGGATAGGGCATCCGTCAGAACAGAAGGGACAGAGAGTGAGCCCAGTTGCTCT